CTTTGTACCTACCAAATCCTGATAAAAACTTCCGGCTGTACTAGCCAGGATGGCGTGGCCTGACGTGAGCGAGTTAAAATTTTCGTGGACGTCAAACAATAAGGGAAACGACTAGAGTTACGCTTCTGGTATAACTTCTTATTCTGTGATTCAACATTGCGAATCGGGTGTCATTCCCTCAATATTAATTACAAATCAAAATATGGTGGACATTCAGTCATTATGTGATGATGGTAGAAAATTTGCAACAGAAGCCGTTAAATACGATGAAGCAGGGGACATAGAACAAGCAATATTCTTCTACTCAGAAGCTTCTGATGCGCTGTTGAAAGCTTGGTCCGTTGACAACAGCTTAAACATCCGATCAAAAGTTGAAAATTATATTGCACGAGCAGAGGAATTGTATCAACATAAAGGTCAGTACAGAACTGTTTAGTAGTTTGTTCTATATGACTGTTGATCATTTTGAAATGTAAAATATCATGATGAATTATTATTAAAGTCACGAAAGCTTCCTAAGTTGAAATAAATCATAGTAAAGTGTACTGTACATGTGCGGTGTGCAGTACTGAGTACACTACAACACTAGTACAGTTCCTGTACTGTATGTACATATTTGGACAAAATTATAGATGGATAAACGTTGTTTACAAATTTTTATTTCAAATTGCCCGTTAAGAAGGTGCTGGCATGTTATTCTGAATTGTTTAACATGCTTGAATATTAAGTTCATAAAGACATAGAGAATTTACATAAAATTTGTAAACAGACTGTTTACACAGTCATCTATTTTTGTGATTGACCGATAATCACAGTATCAGGCTGATCAGTAGACAATTATCTGTATTTCCGATTGTGTAAAACCAATTGTTGAGAAAATATGCATTTTAAAAATTAGTATACACGTCCAATACATGCATGTTGATACTTGTTGCATTTCAATGCAAAGTATGTATTGCCGCAATAAAAAATAATGCATGAAGCATGCCTTTTACGGATGGTTTTAATGAATGTTGCTTGTAGTAACATGCCACGATGGAAATAATCATTAAAAAATCGAAAGAATGTCATCACCTTTACTCAGTTCGAAAGACATTATGACATATTATAAGCAGTGGCATCAAGTAACGAAGTAACTCCATTGTTCATCTTGATGGATGCTCTTTGTGTATAAATATAGTGCTCATAGGATGTACAAAGTAACTATCATAGATGGATTTTCAGATTTGCCTCTGGGAGGGGAGGGGGCAAAAATTTATGGGGAGGTGAGTGGCGGGGCATGTAGGGCCACCAAACAAGGTGGAGCAAGGGTCACAGTTACTATTAGGCATTAAGCCCCCTGTAAATTTTGAGATTTTTAGTTTTTACCAGAGAAGTACAGGCGGAAAACAAATTGTAATATTTAATAAATATTAAAACCCAGCAAAGTGCTTTTAAAAGAGCCATATTAAAACCATTAAATTTAAAATTTAAAAAATTATTAAAAAATTATTTATTATTATTTATTAAAAAATTTTAAATTTAATGTTTTATGGCTATTTTAAAAGTACTTTGTTATTATTGATTGCCAATTTTGTGACATCCCTCTAGATAGCAGATGTATACTTCTTAGGATTGTAGCTCATTATTTATTTATGAATATCTTTTATTTTAGGAAATGACAGTGTCAAAAAGCCACTAAAGTCATCACAACAAGTAGGTGACAGTACTAGTTTTCTATTTATAATTTAATTATTATTACAACAGGACTCATTAATATTTTTAGTGCCTGCAAGCAAAATTCATAACTTCAAAATTGCCTGCAGGAATGCATAATCTTTTAAAGCTAAATACTGCAGTTAAAAAAAGGATTATTAAATATGTCTGCACAAATGCAAAAGATGCCTGTGAGCAGTGCTAGTCTGGTCGACACACATTTTAATAATTCCTGATTACATGTACAGTCCAGGTGGGGTAAGTGGGAGTTGAATGTCAGATGCCAAGTTCTACTTGTGCTAAATTATTAACAATAATGTATAACATTGTATTAATTGTGCCTGCATCAGAATAAAAACATAGGTCCGCTGTGGTGGACATGCATCTACTGAATAGAATAGTAGCACTGGGAAATAAAAGGCATTGAGCAGATAAAAGCATAGATGTGCACTCTAACCTTTGGAATCGATTTATGGCATTTCCAGAGTCATAGCACAAGCATAACGTGACAATTCCCTTACGAAAATATTCTATAGAATATTACATTGAAATATTCTATAGGATATTCTATGGCATATTCTAAACGATTTTGGAACACATTCTATGGGATGTTCTATGGGATATTCTATGGAACATTCAATAGAATATTCAACTGAATTCTATAGAATATTCTATAGCATATTCTAAACGATTTTGGAACATATTCTATGGGATATTCTATGGAACATCCAATAGAATATTCAGCTGAATTCTATAGAAGATTCTATAGACGTCTGTTGAATATTCTATAGCATATTCTAAACGATTTTGGAACATATTCTATGGGATATTCTATGGAACATCCAATAGAATATTCAACAGAATTCTATAGAAGATTCTATAGACGTCTGTTGGATATTCTATAGCATATTCTAAATGATTTTGGTGCACATTCTATGGAATATTCAACTGAAGAAAACACAATTACTGTTGTATTAAAAAAAGTAGTTTAATAACTAATAGTTAGTGGAACAGCTAGTTAAACAATCAGAATTATGTGTTTATAGCTATCATTCAACTAGGAAATGGGTATTTAAAAGATAGTCATTGTAAGACTTTTATACAACTGGCCCATGCAAGCAAGTTGGCAACTCGCAACTTGGCAACAATTATAATAAATTTATTATGTGGAGAATATCATGTATATAAACTTTGCAAAGATTTCGTCACACATAGAAAATTGATAGCCGAAGGGGGGGATGGAAAAGTCTCATATTACATGTTTCCACTTCCGCACTTCGATTGCAAGGAGTGGCCGTTCTGTACAATCATCTAATTCATCTTCGAGAATCATATTATCATATATACGTCAAACTACTTGCTAAATTGGTTTCTGTTTGCTTTTAAATTATACAAACATGCTAAAATCAGATTCTTATAGCAACAGAAAATTCAGGAAATCAAGCAACGAGAACGTATGACTGTACGCTTTGAAATATTTTTATTTTCTCGCGGTGTTCGCCGGTTCGGGCGTAGTTTCATTTCACGCGTACGTTTCTGTTCTGGCACTGATATTTATAATATGCTTATAATATGCCAATGAATTGTTCTGATATGGACACGGTATAAATTTTCTTAAACAGATGTCTCAAAAGCGACTGTTTATAGGTCGTAGGATTAGCGCCTTGCCGGTCTCTGAACGTGACACATTTGGACACAAGCCAAATACACATTGAATGTCCATTTTATTGATTCTAAAACTGTTTATAGACATATTGCTCTAGATTTTTTTTAAAAGCAGGGGTTTCAGAATAAGCCGGCGGCCGGCGGAGTTCCGCCGGCTACTTGAACTTTTACCGCCGCCTACTTTTCGTCCGGTCACAGGAAAAATTTTATATACAAAGGTACAAGCGAACCAACACGATGTTTGTTATGTTCCAATTAGAATTCAAGCAAAACATCACTTATTTTGGGAGATCAATAAGATCAATAATACATAGTACCAAACATAGCTTGCTTTGTTAAGTTGCTGTTGAAAAAGCGATAATATAAACATTCTTTGTTTTCTCGTCGTCATCTTGAATTTCGTAGCAAATCGTCAGCGGCTCTGAATCTTCCTGAACAGGGATATAGATTCGTGTCTCGCTAATAGGGTTAGCGGTTAGGGTGGGGATTAGGGTTAGCATTATAAATAGCGAGACATGAATCTATAACTTTGAACAGGAAGATGACTCTGATTGACTCTGGCAGTGACTTAAAGGTGATCTACAGTCCATATGTAAACAAAGCCTTTGTTTACATTTTTGTGTCCAAAATATTGAGCTTTATTCGACAACTATTTATATTTTCAAGCTTCTAGAGTATAATAAATGATCAAGAAACAACAATCAGGCTTTTCAAGAACTCAAAACATAGTTAAACTGTTTGTATCATAAAAAGTGGGCTCATTCGTGCACATGCGCAGATCGGACTGTAGATCACCTTTAAGCATTGAGGAATCCGAATTTGACAATGAGTCAGAGAAAGAGTCAGATTCAGAGCTACTTTGGTAAATGTTTTTCAAGTGACTAATTTTTTGACAGCATCGCCGGATTTTGAGGGGAGGTGTTGGGAGGTGCGCACCTCTCCTAGTCCCCTGAGATCGTTTTGCACCTCCCCTGAGAACTTTTGCACCTCCCCTGAAGAATCATGCACCTGCCCTTGGGAAAGTTTAATCAATGATAGATCAGAGTGAAAATTTGACATTTTTTGGTTGCTTAGGGTCTACACTTCGTAAGAACGTTTTTCTGTAAAATTGAAACAGTGATAGCCATTCATCTCTGTGTCAAGTACCCTTTTAATGCAATGTTTTGAAAGAAACTTTGTAGTAATTGTAATGAAGGGCAAAATTGGACGAGTTGTACAGTCATAATTAACTAATACACTGATACATATGTATACACTATGTGACCTTGGTCTGTTCTAAGCCCTAACTTTCCATGGGGGTCGTGAGCTAGACCACTGCACCTCCCCTAAATTTTTTCCACCTCCCTCACTATTTCCACCAAAATCCGACTGTGATTTGACAGTGAACAAGACGCCGACTCGGCGTTAACCTCGGGTCGGTGGATAGGGGATCGTCTGGTAAATATCCAAAAATTGTGTAAATCACGATAGTTTAATAGTTCACTAGTATAAATGGTGAATCAGTTAATCAAAGCTCCGTTTTAATATTTTATTGATAATAATTACTGGCCCTCATCAAACCTATTGTTTTCTCTCTGCATTATATCAGCGAATGTCGAGAAGTTTTCATTTAACGTTCTACTGAAAAACGGGAGCGGCCTTTTTGGTTGTATAGGGAAATTCCGGCTCAGGGGTAAATGTTTATACGCGTCATATTCTATGTACGCGTTAAAATAGCACACAACATTATTAAAAATAATGCAGCGTGCATCAGTGCACACAGACATTATTAGCAATAATGCATCTTCGTCACCCTGACATGTACACGCGATAACGTGAACATCCCAAGATGAGAAGGTGACAGTGCTAAAGGCCCCCCATACGGTGTCGTCGGGTGCCTGAAGCACTGTTGGAAACGGTCGCTGTGAGTCTTTTCAGTTCAATTTTATAGAGAAATAGTTTCGTTTGCGCTTGTGGGATTTTATCCTAGATATACGCATGTGCAGAATACACCATAAGTTCTATTCCCGTGTTTATCCAATACGCTATTTGAGTAAACCTTATCATTAATGATAATATGTAAACTAGAACACTATAATTGACCTCCGCTTGTGGAGATTTTAATTTAGGGCGATTAATTAAACTGAAATCTGTTCTATCACAATGCACTACAGTGCCTATGGTTATGTCTATATGCATGTCCTCACAAATGTCTAGTGTAACGTTGGATAGGTTCATTGTCATACGGTCCCGACAAGCAGCAACGTACAGTAGTCTTCCAGCCGAAAATAATTACTTTTGATTCGGGTCAGTAATTATAATAGATAACAAGTGAAAGTTGGCCGCGGTATTCCCATGCTATGCATACGAAGTATTGTGCATTATATCAACATATACTCGAGAATAGTTATCCAGCTAAACATGTATGTCAAAATTACCACATCTACTGGTTTATCAAATTATCACATCTTCGGATTTTGTGCAAGGACAGCTTCGGGTTGCGTTTACTTATTTACCGGAAGTTGTCGTCTCCTCCGCAGGCTTTTCGACTACGCGCGCGGCTCGACACAAATGGAAAAAAAAAATAGGAGCCGAATTTATGACCTCGGTGTCGTACCGACCCGAGGTAATTAATTATGATAAAGTGATGAAGTAAAGTTCATTACGTACATAAGTATAACTAGAGTCAAACTGAACTGCTGACCGTCGAGAAAAATCAAGTTTTGACAAAATATTAATGTGGCACATACTGTTATTAGTGCAAATGTCACAAGATTCGCATTATCAAGCAAACGGGCGCTAAGCGGCAATTATTAGTAGGCCGTCGATTGGGCGTCGAAGTGTCGAATCTGTGAGTATTAACTTTGCCTTCTAAACGTGATTGTAAGCAAGTTTGACTTGAAATAGCGTTTCAATTCGGTATTAGGCAGCAAAATACCGAAATGTCGGTATATCGGTATTTTTAAATTATCAATATCGCCAAACCGGTATCTAAACAAATACCGGTATACCGGATATATCCGGTATATCGATCCACTCTAAGTATAACATAAATTAATACTAATAGGGTACATTGTCATTCTGTTCATGCAGCTGCAAAAATTAAACTACTAGTAGCGCATTAAAGTATATTGTCACTTACAAGTATAAATGCAAATGACATCTAAATCTAACATGTTAACAGTTGTACTTTGTCTTTTTACTTATTCTATATTATTTGATTGTTATTTTGCGGCGAAATTTTTTTGAATTTCCATGCGAGGGTACGTCC